GGGTGGGGATAAGGGGAAGAGATCAACCAAAGGACTTGTATGCATGCATATAAGCCAAACCAATGGACATGGACAACAGGGGGATGAGAACATGAGTGGGGGGTTGGGGGTTAATGGGGGGGATAAGGACACATTTGTAATACCTTAACTAATAAAGAATTTTTTTTAAAAAGTGTCAACCAAATTCACAATCAACAATGACAGATGGAGACACACGCATGCAATTGGTGCCAGGAGAGCTTTATATGTATTGCATGTGCATGAGTTAACTTAGCCTTTTATAGATATAGAATAAACTTGCTTAATTAGACATGCTTTCTGATTTTGCTAAACTTTTTCCAGCCCAGTGAAGCATCCCAACTTCTTTTTCAGGTAATTGTCAGCAACATAGCAGTAAATATCAACACAAAGCAGATTATTATTGTAGATCACACAGGGAGAACAATGGGTAAAATATTTAACTGCAGCAGTGTTTGACTATATTCTGCATAGTGAGAAAACCTAAGTCATTTTCAAGGTCCACCATTTCTTACTTCTTTTCAGTCAGGTCAAGTTTCTAAGCTTTCTAAATCTCCGTTTTCTGGGTAATGAAAAGAAAATAGGATTCCACTGGGTTTCCTATCTACCTACTCTAGGACTTCTGTGAGGATCAAATGAGATGAGGCACAGGAAAAAGCTTCACAAACATTTGGTGACAGTGTAAAATTTTTCCACCCGGCTATAAAGCAAGCCGTGTTACTGGGCTGAAGAAACTCCAAGGAGGCTAGTAGCTAGGGAGAGGAAGCCAAGCATTGCTATTTGATGTCATTACCCAGATGGATACTTAGCATATTAGCATTTTATATATATGGATGGTTTAATATTCACCAAGAGTTTTTAAAAAGACATGCTATGTGAGTCACAGCCATAAGATTTAGGGCAAGTAGCATTATGGATCTGGGCCTACTAGATTTCTAACCATTTGTGAAGAGAGACTCTTAAAGAATTTCTCCTTCAAAGCTACCACCTCTGTGGTGTGTGTGTGTGTGTGTGTGTGTGTGTGTGTGTGTGTGTCCATGGCAGGGGAGGAGATGAAGCAGTGAGATCCCCTAATGAGTGGAAAAAAATGCATAATACATCACCTCAGCTTTCTTGCTTTCCTCATAGGTTTCCACAGAGCAGGTAGGTTGGTGATGCTTGGTCTGGAGGTGTATCAGGTAAGGCTTTGGAATCTACTGCTGGTCCTAATTCTGGGAATAGTGGGTCATGGACTAGATGCTCCTCAAAGGCAACTCTTTCATTTCATTTACTTTTGCTGCCTCAGGACCTAGAGGGTCATACTGTGCCTGGTGCATGTTTGTGCTGACTCACAGTAGAATGAATGGCTAAATGAGGCCTCAGCTCTGAAATTTAGTAATCTCATAAAGAACAAATACAGAAAAATAATTATTGAAAATGGCACCTTTACCTTTTCTTCATTAGTTATCAACAGCTTTTTCATTTGTTATAAACAGATTAAATTTCTAGGATATGCTCTTAATTTTTTCTGAGGACACTTTTCTTTTTGTTTTTGTTTTTGTTTTTCTTATCTGAGGGCATTTTTCTACTCATAATTGACACTCTAAATTCTGTGGAGTATATCAATGTTGTTGTGGTAGTGGGAAGGCAGGAAAGCTGACAGTAAAATTATGAAGAATTGCCTGGATTACTATGAGAAATCACTTTCCTTTTTGTTTCTGACAACCCGAGTGCAACTGCTTTATCATCTGTTGTCATTCTTACCTTGGCAACTTCGATTGCAGACCCATAGCCAGTTGTGAATCCACAGCCAATCAGACAGACTTTATCTAGTGGTGCAGCTGCATCAATTTTGACCACTGAGATCTCGTCCACCACTGTGTACTGGGAGAAGGTGCTGGTGCTAAGGAAGTGGTTGATGGACTTCCCTTTGCAGGTGAACCTGGTGGTACCATCCTGCATGGTCCCACGAGGCATGCTCAGACTGGCCAGTGCAACACACAGACAGACAAGGGCATGAGACACGTGCATAACAGTGTGCAAATTCATTGGCTGTGTCAGGAGAGTAACGGAAACTTACTCATTTTTCACACAGAAGTTGCCTTCCGGATGTTTACAAACATTGCATTTTCCACACTGGGGAGTAAAGAGTGGGATGACTTTATCACCTGGAGGGGGAAAAAGCAAATTCTTATTAAATTTCTACCCAGGAATTAATAGAGCAAGCACTCAAAGCTTATGGGTATGTATTAGAGGCAGTTGCCTTTCAATAGTCTCTCAGAAACAGGATCCAGTCACCATGATGTCATTAGACATTGCTGGCAGCATTGTTATTGGTTTGGGTTTGTATGTGCCTGAAGATTGCCAAAGAGGACATGTGACTGTGGGGACAAACATGGATTTTAAAGTATTTCCACTGCATTAATAGTTATCTTTTTCTCCATGCCCTTTCTCTAGATAGTTTTATACACATTTTATTTAACCCTTAAGAATTAAGTCTTAAATGTTCTTAGTGTAAGTATATTTATAAATTTTAGTAGTGAGAGGCTGCCATAGTTTCACTAGATGTTGGGGAAAGCCAGTATTTTCTAATAGTTTCAGTTACAGTAAAAATGAGAATTTTGACAACCATTCTTGGCTTTTCAAAGTGACTGCTTATTTTTACTATAAAATGATTTTCTATTTTTTAAATTTTAGGGGTTTTTTTCCCCCAAAGAAAACGTAACAAAAATGTGAGAAAAAAGAATTAAAGAAATTCCTTTAAAAATCTCAACCCTCAACTAGTTAGGCACTTTTCTTTTAGGATGAGAATTCATTTTTAAATGTTTTTAGCTGATAACTTAATTTGTGAATTATTTATTTTGCCTGCTATGTTGGAGGGAACCAGCGTGAAAAGTAAAAGTGTTATTTATTGTTAATTTATTTCTAAGTAAAGGAAATACTAAGAGCTGAAACTCAAACCAGACCATATATTTTAATATTTTCTGTCAACAAGTTAAATAAGTATTTGGTATTGGGGCAGGTCAAATCTACTGGCTAAAGTTATTTTTTTTTAGAATTAAACATTATTTTTGTTTTCAACTAGTTCTCCTACATATCCACAAAACCCACAAAAATGGTTAGACCATAATATTTAATAGATAAACTTTATATGGAGATAATAGCATGAACATTTTATATTTATTCACTCTTTACCTCTAAGAATATTTATCTATATTAATGCACAATAAAATTCAGACAAAATAAATGTTAAGGATAAACTAGTACCCTGTAACCAGTCACAGTTAGCCATGGTTTAATGTAGTAAAACAGATATTGTTTAGTGCAGGGGCCTTCTGCCAGGTCTCTCCTTTTCTTCTAAATAGCCTGTTTCATTCATTCTGTGCTCAAGAAGGGAGGCCATAGTGGAAGGGAAAACCAGTGAATGGGTTCCACTTCCCACCTAGAGGAGATCATGTTGATTCAGTCAGAGCCTCAGGCTCCCCACCCTGGGAAGTCAGCACTGAACAGTTCCCATGCACTGACCTATAGGCTCAGGACACAGACTTAGATGTTTTTCCTGTGTCCCATTTGTAGTTCTTCTTGGACCTGAGAGAAAACAGTGCTCAGCAACACTGAAATGGAAGTTATTTGATTATGACCTCAGGGAGTGGGTCCCTTTTGGTCCTCATGTATCCCAGGATCTAACCTGGTGCCTGACATATAGCAGGCGCTCAACAAATTCCTGCTGAAGGCGAGAACACAGGAGTGCGTGAATGCATACATGTCTGAGGCAGGAAGGGGGCAGAAAAGGAGGAGACCTCTGTTCAAGCTCTAGTTGTGCTGCTGCCCTCGGCAAGGTCTTGCATCTCTCATTGCTTCAGTTTAATCACCCAGGCTGGGTGTTCTTGGGGTCCTGAACAGTACCTTCTCCAAGTAGGAGTTCTATACCTGGCTTTACTGCAGTCACTCCTTCTCCAATGCTCTCCACAATGCCGGCTGCCTCATGGCCTGCAATCACAGGAAGAGGTGTGGCGAAGTTTCCAGTAACCACGTGGTCATCTGACCGACAGACCCCTGAGGCCACCATCTACAGGGTAAAGGGAAGATAATTAGATTCAGCAAAACTATGGCCCTCAGATGGACTTCACATGCCCAGCTTTCTAAAGTTGGACTTTTGAAGAGTTTTCAAGGATTTTGCTAATAATCTCTATTTTCCCCAAATACACAAGATCCCGTTTCTCTCCAAGATTACTCAGTTTATGCATGCATACAAGTCCTTTGGGGGCGGGCAGGGAGAGGTCAAGGGGAGTGGGGGAGGAAGAGACTTATGTAAGACTTTAAACAATAAAGAATTTAAATTAAAAAATAAATAAATAAAAATAAGAGTTTATGAGTGAAAAAAAAAGATTACTCAGTTTAAAACCCTCCACTTCTTTCCTTCCCTGCCTTAAGCAATTCAGAATAATCTGTGAAATAAGTTTCTCAAATATTTGTCTTATGTAATAGACAAGAATGCATCCTTTTTCCTAGAAGTAGAAACTATAGATTAGCAACCAAGAAAATTAAGTCAGTTAAGCTCCACCATTGAATGCTAATTGATTTTGAAATCTTGCACTTTTTTTCTGTATAAACACATCAATACTTTTTAATTTCATTAGTGTCAAAGAATTTCAATCTACAATAGAACTGGAGGATATAAAAAGGAAAATCTAATGTATGTGTCATCAGGAAAGACACATAAGGACTGAGAAATCGTTTTCCTGTAAATGCCTGATTTACAGAACACTGATAATATTGGAATTTTCCTAAATGAAAATTGGTCAGGAGTTGCCTCATAACAACCTTGAGAAATTTTGAACTAAAGTAACTCTGGTGGGATTCATCTCACATTTTAAGCTGAATTGAGCTTTGTTTGTATGACTGGATTTGCTTTTGTTTCAATGATGAAAAATTGTTTAATGAAATAAAAACAAAAGAATACATGGCTGCTATATTATTATCAGATTAAGCAGAATTCAAGGCCCAAACTAATTAAATGAGACAAAAAGAGTATCATATAATAATAAAAGATACTCTCATAAAAATATATATACATTTTAACAGACTATAACTGAACTCTTCCCTCTTTAAATTTCCTGCCTGTAAGTATAGCCTACCCCAAACTCTCAAAGGACTGCCCTATAGCTCTCTACAATTTGCATGTTCCAAATTACAACTACTGTTATTCGTTTTTGCTTTGTTTTGTTTTTAAATTCTTTATTGTTGAAAGTATTACATATGTCTCCTCCCCCCCCCCCCCCCTTCCCCCCCCCCCCCCCCCCCATTGACCTCTCCCTGGCCACTCCTGTCCCCTAGCACATGCCCTCTCCCCTCTACTGTCTATGTCCATTGATTATGCTTAAATGCATGCAACAAATCTTTGGTTGATCTCTTAACACCCCCCTCCCCTTCCTACCCTCTGAGGTATGACAATCAGTTTGATGCTTCTATGACTCTGGTTCAATTTTTGTTCATCAGTTTATGTTGTTCATTGTATTCCACAAATGGGTGAGATCATGTGATATTAATCTTTCTCTGACTGGCTTATTTCACTTAGCATAATGCTCTCCAGTTCCATCCATGCTGTTGCAAATGGCAAGAGTTCCTTCTTTTTTACAGTAGCGTAGTATTCCATTGTGTAGATGTACCACTGGTCTTTAATCCACTCATCTGCTGATGTACACTTAGGCTGTTTCCAAATCTTAGCTATGGTAAATTGTGCTGCTATGAACATAGGGATGCATATATCCTTTCTGATTGGTGTTTCTAGTTTCTAGGGATATACTCCTAGAAGTGGGATCACTGGGTCAAATGGAAGTTCCATTTTTAATTTTTTGAGGGAACTCCATACTGTTTTCCACAGTGGCTGCACCAGTCTGCATTCCCACCAGCAGTGCAGAAGGGTTCCTTTTACTCCATATCCTGGCCAGCACTTTTCACTTTTTGACTTGATGATGATAGCCATTCTGACAGGTGTGAGATGGTACCTCATTGTTGTTTTGATTTGCATCTCTCAGATTATTAGTGACTTTGAGCATGTTTTCATATGTCTCTTGGCCTTCTGCATGTCCACTTTCAAAAAGTGTCTATTTAGGTCCTTTGCCCATTTTTTCATTAGATTTTTGGCTTCCTTTTGTTAAGTTGTGTAAGTTCCCTATAAATTTTGGTGATTAAGCCCTTATCAGATATAATGTTGGGAAATATGTTCTCCCATGTAGTGGGCTTTCTTGTTGTTTTGTTGATGGCTTCTTTTGCTGTGCAGAAGGTTTTTAATTTGATGTAGTCCCTTTTGTTTATTTTCTCCTTTGTTTCCATTGTCCTAGGAGCTATATTATGATTTATGTCTGATATTTTGCTGCCTATGGATTCTTCTAAGATTTTTATGGTTTCCCATCTTATGTTTAGGTCCTTTATCCATTTTGAGTTTGTTTTGTGTATGGTGTATGTTGGTGGTCTAGTTTCATCTTTTTGCATGTATCTGTCCAATTACCTATTACCACCTTAATTAAGTTTATTCCTAGGTATCTTAGTTTTTTTGGTGCAATGGTAAATGGGATTGTTTTTTAGTTTCTCTTTCTTGAGTTCATTATTGGTGTCTAAAAAAGCCATAGATATCTGGGTGTAAATTTTGTATCCTGCTATGTTGCCAAAATCTTTTATTAAATTTAGTTGTTTTTTAATGGAGTCTTTAAGGTTTTTCTATGTATAATATCACGTCATCTGCAAAAAGTGACTATTTTACTTCTTCTTCTCCAGTTCCGGACAGCTTCACAGGGGAGTTTTATGAAAATTCGAAGAAAGACTTATACCAATCTTCCTCAGACTATTTTAAAAAATTCAAGAGGAAAGAACACTTCCAAGCTCTTTCTATGAAGCCAGCATTACCCTAGTCCCCAAACCAGAAAGACAATTATAGGCCAATATTCCTGATGAATATAGATGCTAAAATCCTCAACAAAATATTAGCAAATCGCATCCAGCAATACATTAAAAAGATCATAAGCCATGACCAAGTGGGATTTATTCCAAGAATGCTGGTACAATATCCGCAAATCAATAAATATGATACATCACATAAATAAATTGAAAGGTAAAAACCACATGATTATATCAATTGATGCAGAAAAAGCACTTAACAAAGTCCAACACCCTTTTTTGATATAAAACTCTCAGCAAAGTGGGGATAAAGGAATCATATCTCAACATAATGAAAGCCTTATATGACAAACCTACAGCAACATCATACTCAGTGGGCAAATACTAAGTAAGACCATTTCCCCTAAGAATAGGGAACTAGACAGGGATGCCCATTTTCACCATTCCTATTCAACATAGTATTGAAAGTGCTAACCAAGAAGGAGAAATAAAAGGTATTCAAGTTATTCTTGAATAAATTCATCTTTTTCATCATTTTGAGCTTGACTCAGTTTACCTCTTTATTGAGGTTGACATTAGGATTATACTGTACATACTATCTATTCTATTTTTGAAAGTTTAACAACTTATATTTTTATATTTCCTTGACAAGAAATGTAATTCCACTGTTTGGATTACTAGGGCACTTACCTAAGTTTCTGATTCGATCCTGGTTGGGGCACGTAAGGAGGCAAGGCAAGGGATTGATGCGATGTTTCTCTCTCAGCTCTCTCTCTCTCTCTCTCTCTCTTTGTATTGATTTCAGAGAGGAAGGAAGAGGGCTAGAGATAGAAACATCAATGATGAGAGAGAATCATTGGTTGGCTGCCTCCTGCATGCCCACACTAGGGATCAAGCCCACAACCTGGGCTTATGCTCTGACTGGGAATCAACCATGACCTTCTGGTTCATAGGTCAACGCTCAACCACTGAGCCACACTGGCTGGGCTAAAAAGTGCTCCTTAATAAACTTTTTGTTATTTCCATTTGTACTATTCTCTGAATTTTCTTATACTTAAAATTCAATAGAAGAGAAAAAAGTGTTTCACCTTTATACGGACTTCATGAGCCTTAGGGGCTGCTACCTCCACCTCCTCAATGGAAAAGGGTTTCTTTATCTCCCATAGCACAGCTGCTTTGCATTTTATTACCTGGAAATTGAACAGAAAGATGACACAAGTGCTTACCCACTCTTGAAGTCGGGGATTGTGACTTTCATCTTTTTATGTGCAACATCTAGCCCCCTGTCTGAAATCTGATAAATGTTATATAGAAAAGGACAACTTCTGATTTGCAAAAAGAATGGAATACCTTTTTAAAATGTGTAAAGTAATAACATAAGGAAACATAAATAGAATTAACTATAATGAGGCATTGAGATAAAATGTAAAGTGTTCTTTTAGGTCATCCTTATATTGTTTCTTTTTCCAAGGGTTGTTTATTTGTGATATTTCCTAATGCAGTCCTGAAATTGGTTGTTTGCCCACAACTGTTGGCTTGCAATGAAGTTTTAAATCACAAATATTTCACTGATAGGATCACTGTCTGGTCACATAAAATCTATTGCTCTCTTGTTCAAGTCTCTGCTTAAGCCCCAAACAACCGGACTTTATGATTCCAGTGCATACTTGCCTCCCTGCATAGGTGACTTCTCTTTCTCCTTGTCTGTCCTCCTCCTCCGATTTCTCTCCCCACTACTTCCGTGTGCTACTAGTTTGCATGACTCATTTGAAAGTGAGCTTTGGCAGCTCGGTTTTCTTCTCTAATTTATGTGTAGCTATTTTTTTTTCCAGATTAGATGTGAGCCAAAAATCACAGAGGTTACAGCTGTACACACACACACACACACACACTCTTACCCACATACTCACATATATATTTAAAAATGGAATAACTGTGTGTTTGACTTTTTAATCTAGCATAGTTTATCCATAGATGTTCTTCAAGATTAAAGTTGAACACATATTTTTAGTACTTGAGAATGTAACATATTGGTAAAATCTGTCTTCATTGCTACAAAGTTTATACATTTGAGAGCTTTTTTCTAGATAGATAATTCTATAGTAATTGTAATTATGAATGTATAATTCATAATTATAAATATGATTTTAAAAGGTCAATTGAAATGTATGCTTTTGCAAATTAATTTTCATTATTTATATGTCAAACTCTCTTACTTTGCTGAGGTGCTTGCCATGGTCAATAAATATGAGAGTACTTAGAAATAATACACTAATAGTACATAGCTTCTGATTATCAGGTGTTCATTTAATGGGCAGGCACATTGTGGCCAATGCTGAATGAATTACATACTTGATCTCTAAAGTCCACCGGGCAGTATTATTAAGCTATTGGTCTATTTTACGATGGCAAATTTGAGGCTCATTTGACATAGCAACTGACTAATTTTTGCAAAGTCAGAAAGTCTGCTGCCCAGAAAATAAGACAATCCAACTTTATCTTTTCACCATCCCATGGTAATAAGCAATTAACCAAATCTTACATAACAACAACAACATCAGTAGTAGTGACTAACATGTATTGGATAACTTCTATGTCCCAGACACTATCCTAAGTGCTAAGGAGTATTAATTTATTACATTCTCACAACTATCTTATGAAGTAGGTGTTATTATGATTGCTGTTTTGCATTTGAGAAAAATACAATGCAGGAAGAATAAACAGGTGAAGTGTTACCACAAAGCTGAAAGCTATGGATGTTGCCCCAGAGGGGCAAGAACCAATTGCTTAGCATTTACTGTTTTCATGAATACATTTGGTTTACTCATTTGCTTTCTGAACTCATTATTTCTTTCAAACTGAGTTTTGACAAATTTATTTTTAATTTTTCCTAACTTTTCTTCATTTGGAATGTAATTCACCATCATAATGGCTAATCAGTAACAAATGAAAATAAAGAGAGTTGAAATGAAAAAAACTGACAATTTGCCCTCTTGAGTTTCCAAAAAATCATAGGCCTGTTATATATATAACACAGGGTGTGTAGAAATCTCAGAAACTTTCAATTGTGTTATCATAGCAAAATATTAGAGTGTGTGTTCCACTCCTAATACAACAAAAGTACTGGACACTTTTTGGGACTGAGCAGTTAAACAATGTGAATTGATTATATTGTATGATCATATGCATTTCTCTGCACTTATAAGCACATTGAAGAGGTAGAGAGATCTATGGAAGACCTAGAACCAAATAACCCTGTTTCTACTACTAATAAGTGACTCAAACTATATCAGTATTAATTTTTGATAAAATCATGTTGACTTTTGTATGGAAAAGATATTTTTCTATAAGATTTCTATGGAAATTTCCTGCATTGAGCTATCATAGGACCCTTTAAAATTAGAATTTGCATGTTGATGTTGGCTTGCTTATCCTTGATGATTCTAATGCTTTGAGATCAATAAAACTTGTCAGACTTAACTTTCCTCCTGTGTTCATAAAAATAAAAACATGATTACAAAAATTAACATTTAAGTTATGGCTTCTCAATACAAAGTTAAATTATTGATTAAAAATATTTCTAACTTCAGATTTTCAAATTATTCATGATTGGCTGTAACTACTGCCCATTTATCTAATATAGTAAATAAAGACTTTAATAGGTACAAAAGTTACATATTCTTTTAACGATATTTAGCAACAGCCTATTTAAATTCTGATTCAATATACATTGCATAACAAAGCATATATTCTATGTTATATTTCAGTTTATATGGTTTTTAATTTAGATATAAATTTTAAATTATTCATTAAATATTGTTTCTCTTTGTGAATTATATGAGAATATATTTTTAAAATAAAAAAAAAAATGCTTACTTTTCCTGCTGTGCTCATGTTTCTGTTCTTTCTGCAGGCCAGGAGGCGGATGGATTCTTGCAGACCCTTTCCTGCTCGATTACATAAAACAGATATGTTGCACAGATATTTTATTTGCTTGAGTAATGCTCAGTTCTACACATGTGATCTGCTGTCTTTAGCCAGACCCACAGGTTTATTCTCAAACTATATCAAATCAGAAAGAAATGGGCACTAATCCACAACTCAGACCTGTACTTTGTAATTTGCCAATTATGGATAACAGCTTGATTTATCTGGTTAAATATTTCTCTACACATAAATTTTAATCTCTCTCTTTTTTTCTGGATTCCACGTTTATTCTCTCTTCTTCTCATTTCCCGTTTGTGTGCACTAAGCTGCAACTTCTAATCCACATGCTGCAGTTAGAAAGAAGGAGCAGTAAGGAAGCGGCACAAATGACAAAGGACAGAGAGAAGAACAAGCCAGAGGAATGTGTTTGCCCCAGCACCCTCCTCCTCTTCATAGCAGAGAGGTCAGACACCAGTCAGTCACAGAAAGGGTGCTCATGACCCTGGCATTTCTGCTCTACGCAATACCTAGCAGCACTGACTGAGCACCTCCCTGTTCCAGGCATTCAGTTGGGTGCCCTGGGGTGGCAAGGAGGGGTAAGAGATGGCCTCTACCTCTGCCTAGAGGCAGTACGGGGTCATGCTGATGACATGGCCTTGGATTCCAGGCAGGCCCTATCTTTACTAGCTGTGTGAATTTGCCCTTATTTGTAAAATAATAGAATAATAGTACCACCTCAAAGCATTGTTTGTTAAACAAATGAGACAAGCCCTTTAAAACACTTACCAGGAAACCTGGCAGATAGGACAATCTTCAATAAATATTAGCTACAATGATTACCCATAAAAGAAACTCACAATCTATGGCAAAAAAGACACAGGCAAACAAGTCAGACCATCGGGAGGGCATCTGACAGAAGGACTCAAAGGAGGCTTCGTAGAGAGAACATTTAAGTTAAAAACTAAATATTGATCTCTCTTGCACAGTCAAAATTGAAAAACACACAATCTTGTGCATTTCTATTATCCATTGGTTAGTGCCATGAATAAGAGAAAGCCTCTAAGTTTGACTTTTAATAAATCTCAAGTCTTATACCAACACTTGGGAGCACAGTGCATTCAATTACTTAATTAGATATAATCTGTCAACACGTATACATTAACATAAATATTACATTTCTCTAAAACTGTTAAGGGCATGACAATATTATCTGTTTTCAACTTTAGTCAGTCATATTGGGCTACACTACATCCACCTGGAAGAGAAGACACTGCTTGTACAGAATGGTCACCACCTTGTTCTCCCTGCTGCTCGCCTTCACTTGTGCAGAGCAGGATGATGAGAGTCTGACCTCTTTTCAGAGATTCTGGGGGGGCATCAAGGAGCTCATATACCCCAATCAATTTAGAAAGACACATCGTACATGAGTGAGTTTATAAAGTGATGGTGGGATAAGCATTAGGAATAATTTGAATTCAATTTATGTTAGTCTACCCAGCCTCCAAAACTATCAGAAATCAATGCTGTTGTTTAAACCAGTTTGTTGTGTAAACTGACATTTATTTTACAGGAGCCTAAATGGACTAACATAAATATGTTTTGGTTGATTTCAGAGAGGAAGGGGAAAAGAGAGAGATAGAAACATCAATGAAGAGAGAAAAATCATTGATCGGCTGTCTCCTGCACACCCCCCACTGAGATGAAGCCTGCAACCCAGGCATGTGCCCTGACCAGGCAGGTGCCGTGATCTCCTAGTTCGTTGGTCGACACTCAACAACCGAGCCACACAAGCTGAGCCTTACATTCTCTTCTTAATTCCAAATGCATAAAAGAACCTGCAAGCTGTCATTTCTTGGAAGCATTTTTCTCAGTCTGTTGAGATCTTGCTTCCAGACATATCCTCGGTTTGACTCAAATAAATTATAAAAATTTCCTACAGGTTTGGATATTCATACATCAACAGATTTTAGGTAACCTTGAAATATTCTGAGTGAGCAGAAATGTGGAACAGACTGGTCACACATCCACATGTGGTGGTTAAAAATAGGGAGGAATACATTGGCCATGGAGGTCCCCACAGAAGAATGAGGACAGCTCCAAAACCTGCAGCTCCAGTGCTGAGAAGAGAAATCCCTACAACAGCTGGCTATGAAAATCAGCTGGAATTCACTCTAGGTGAGATGGAGGGTTGCTGTAGACACAACCATCCTCTTAAAGGGCCTAAGTACAGCCTCACTTGCTCACAACTCTCACCCTAAGCTCCAGAGAAGGGACAGCAACTCAAAGCATACCAGGGCCATAGAAATCATAAGAAAGAACTAGTCAGAAATGAAAACTACAATAACTGAAATGAAGAATACGTTGGAGGGAATCAACAGCAGACTGGATAAAGCAGATAAGAGAATCAGTAATTTGGAAGACAGGTAGCAGAAGAAACCCAGGTAGAGTAGCAAAAAAAGAAAAAAAAGTAAAACACGAGGATAGTTTAAGGGACCTCTGGGACAACATGAAATGTAACAACATTTGTATCATAGGAGTACC